AAAAAAAAAAAAAAAGCACTGAAATTCTTCTGGCAGTACGGGAAACTATTTTCAGGATGTTGGAACTACTTCTTAATCTTTCTTAAAAGCATTCACGGACAGCAGTTTCTGTTCTTTCAAAACAAAACAAAAAGCACGTGCAGGAGGTAGTCTACGTTCTGTCGCTGACATTTAAACTTTGCAAACTCCAGCAAAAAAAGAAAAAAAAAAAAAAAAGCACAAGAGGTCATAGCGCCGTGACACAAATTGAGCAATATTGCAGCGACCTCTGACAGCCACACACTCAGAAAGGCAGAGGCCCGCAGTGGATCAGTAGAGAGCCTGGAGAAGCAGATAACCCTTCTCTTCAACGTTCCATCTGATTTTTGAACTCTGAGTCAGACCTTGATTCTGAAGGACTCACGGCTGGTAGAGACGTGTTCCGATGTCTTATATTAAGACCCAGCGTGGCACGATGTGATCATTTTCCAGTACCTTGCTTTTTAAAGTACCACTTCGTGACATTTAGGAACTAGCAATTGGAAAATGCAGTGAATGAGAGAAGCAGAGCCGTTTTTAAAATGGAAAAGTCTCTCAGGTACAGGGTTACACCTCATAGCCTGATGTAGTCCATCAAGGGCAGTAGGAGCATGTGGCCTGCATTTGGTGGTCACAGTGGAACTTCCGGCTGCGGGCCACACAGAAGAACTCTAACAGCCAAATCTGTGTTAGCAATATCAGGAGTATGCTTCTGTTGCGTCTGTGTTTTCTCAGCCGCCATGCCAACTCGTGAGGCCCACAGGCGTATTTAAGTGAAGTCTACTAGTCAACGCAAGTGTTATTTTAGTCTCAGTGCTTCCTCTCTGGCTTTCTTTCACTGAAGGTGATTTCAGAAAGGGAGTAAAAAAAGTAAGAATCTGCTTGATTCTTGACCAATAAAACCACCGAAGGTGACTTTGTCCTTTGGCCACGTATGCACGAGCTCGCTTTATGCTAAAACTCAATGGCATCAACGGAAAGTATTTTCTTGAAAAAGGACATTTAATGTCCTTTACATGAAAAGTACCGAGTAAGCATACATCTCAATTAGGTGAAAATACAGAAGTTAAAAATTCTGAACTTGATCACTTTAAGAATACTATTATCAGAGTTTAAAATGAGGTTTCTTTATACGTCTTCATAAGGCAAACTCATTTGAATTAGTCAATTCGTTCTTCTTCTAAAACAATCCCGACTTAGCTCCTTTTATGTATGAAAAACAAGATTTACATATCTTATGTTTATCAATGTGAAATCTTGTTATCTCCAATAAGTATTTATACCACTGCAGTATAAGTAGCTTAGCATAAGGATTTTCTAAGAGCCTGGAACAGGATTTTCCAAGTGTTGCTCAAGTACTGTCCCATCCAAAATAGAAAAGGTCAGTAGTTGCAGAGCCTTGTTTCCCACAAAAATGGGTAAAAGAACAGGAACACAGACCATTTCTAATATTCTGATGTATAAGCCTTAAAACTGCCAACGGTCTTGATGATTCAATTAGTAACCTGATTTTTTTCCGCTCCTTGATTTTAAGATTCATTTCCCCAAAGCAAGTGTTCGTGGCAGAAACAGGAAAATTAATTTAAAATGCTCTTAGTTTTCATTCTATTTTCATTGCCTATGGAATTATGTTAATGTCTAAAAGATTTGAGACAGGCACCAAACTCCTACATTCTAGTGCAATAATTTAATTAAAATGATACTAAGGTTAAAAAAAACCCAAAAAACAAAAACCATGGCATGATTTACCCCCCAAAATGGATTTTAAGACTGGCTATAATTCAAAAGATAAAAAGGAAATCTATGAGATGATTTGAATCTAGTATTGAAAGTTATTCATGCAAGAGAAGTTTTGTGCTCAAGCCATTATGGGGATACATGGCAAAGTTTAAATGGATGACAGAAATCTTGATTTTAGACTACATGTTGTGCTGTTTTGAGTACACTTTATTTCAGAAAGTGATATTTAGTATTTTCTATACACTTTGAAATCATGAGCATTTCACTTTTTCTAAGTCAATTATTTCATAAGGATTTTATTAATAGATATTGGTAAATAGAACTTTGGAGATCTTAATTCTGTATTCTTACTATACCCGAGGCTTTTGTAAGCTATAGTTTTATGTACAACCTTGTACAGTTTTTTTGACACACAATTCAGAATCTTGTTTATTCTCCTGGACTTTGTTCTGGCCAATACATTTTTTTTAAATCTTTAAGGAAAACTGTGATTGTTTTAGTGGGTATTTTTCTAAGTAAAGGAAAACTTGTATAATGGTATTTTAGAGAATGCCAGATAAGTGCATGTTTCAAGTTAACGTTTTTCTCATCACTTGTATGTTTATACACAGCATGGGACTTTAATAAAACCATCCTGGAAACTGAAGGATTGTTCTTCTTCCAAGAATGTAAGATGGTGTGATTTATTTTTTTTCTTGTCCTTTGACTACATACTTGTCCTGGCAAACGTGTTTATCACTCTTTCATCCCTGTCTTCTTCCACAATTTTCAGACTCTTTATTAAACACTATTCTGTTTTGCCACATCTTAATTCACTTACATCTCAGCATCACCCTAAGTGATACAGGCTCAGGGTAATGAAATAGTTTAGAAGGGGCAACAGCCCAGCATATGCAGCTTAGCACGCCTGCCACGAAACCTTCAGCCATAGATGCACTAGTGTAGTAATTTATTAGGTGATTCACAGGGACACAGTGCAAATAACTGGACTTCTCTGTTCGTTCAACCCCTTGAACTCTCTGGATCTCTAACTTGGGTTTTTAGGAAAGCAAAGGGTTAAAAGCAGACAGCTGCTAAATTCCAAAAAGAAAAAGAAAAAAAGACAAGATTTCAAACATGCATAGTATGTTGATATCAAAAGGTATAGTAAAACCAAAATTCATTACTCAACAGCATCTCTTTCCATTTTAAAACTTGGATAGTACAGCACTTCAGCCAGGGGGGGATCTGGCTTCTGCAATGAACCGGGTTTAAATGCCTTTGGCGGGTACGTACAAGGCTCCAACAGAGTTTCCGATTCTTCTGACCGTAAAAAGTAAAGACAAGTAGATAATTAATTTTAGTGGAGCTTTAAAAACCTGTGGGAAGGTTATTACATGGACGCTTTGGCCTCCAGTTCACAAAACACTACTACACTTTATAGGTTAAAGTAGAAAGCATTTTTATGGATTAACTCTACAAAGTGAAGCACATGAAAAGGGCCTAAAGTCAATATATTAATCAGGATATAAAACATTAAGTTTTCACAGAGGTTTTCAGGGATGTTAGTTTGCCAACAACGACCTATACACAAAATTATTTGTTAATAAACTCACGTAACACAAAGCGGTACTTAATGAATTTTCTTTTTTCTTTCCCCAATATTAAAAGGGATTAATTACACTATTATTATTTGATGGCAACAATATCTGCTAATTAGAACACTGAATATTCTGCAAACTGTTACTAGAAAATGTGGAAAATCTTAGAACTACAGGTAATACTGTAAGTAAAAACCCAAAAAAGTGAGAAATGAAACATTTAAAAATAATTGCTTATTACAATTTTTACTAGGCAAATCCTTATAACCCACATGCTTTGTTCAGGTAGTCATCTGATTTATTTTGTTAAAAAATAACTGTAGTCAATATACTTTCGTACAAAAACCTTTGAAGTCCAGGACTTGGAGGAACTACTGCTTTCTAATTTCACAGGAGTCATTCTACGAAGAATGCCCGTTGTAGAAACTTTTATAATTCGGTGTAATTCAAATATAAAATTACTACTTAGTAAAAACGCACATAACTCTTTGATCCTAATGCCTCAAAAAAGGGGACATTTTCACTTTTTCGGTTTTAAAATTTTTGATTCAAACATTCACTTAGTGCCAGCTGTGAGACTAATTAGACCTGCTCTTAACCACTTTACAAAAAAAAATGTCAGCACCATGCACACTGCGGCCTCATGATAAAAGAAAACAAAGTAGCTAACATCTTAGAAACAAAACGACTAAGCTTAAATTACTACTTGCGAGTATTAGGTCTCCAAGTTGGTATCTCCCCACTAGTTTTGCGGGCTTCCTAAGTATCTGAGGCAAAACCAAAACAATCTTATAGCTGACATTTTGTTCTAAAGACAAGCTTCCTAATAAATTAAATTTCTATAGAACTGGTTCAGAAAAATAAAGTCTCTCCCCCAACCTAGGGATGTCTTCCTGAAATGGAATAGAAAAAAGGAAAAAAAAATTGCTAGGGAAATGAAAGCGTTAAAACCCAGTCTCTGCCTCTTTCTGGCATGCTGGAATGGCCTGTCCCACAGGATGGAAAAGAGAGGGCATGTGTAAAACTCCTCTCCTACTACATTTCCCAACAAAATGTAGACACATTACATGGCTCAGGATAGTAATAAGCTGGATTAAGCAATTTGTACAATTTTAGAAAGCATCATTACGCCCCCTCAAAACCAAACTAAAATGGTTGGTTAGACACTTGTGAACGACCCAGTGATTTCTGAGATGAATTAGGACTTGACAAACAGATGGTCCACACAATGAAATCAAGCCTTCTGGAAGGGAAATGAGTTGTGGTTTGCAAGAACTCAGAGATACTTTGGATCCACTGTAAAGCTTGCCAAAAACATCAACCGAAATTCTTTACTAACACTAGAGGATGCGCTATATTTAAAAATCACTGTCAATTTTACTGGGATTTAGGATAAAAAATATTTACAACTCTTTTACAACAAGGAGGGAGCATTTAGAACTCACTGGTCAGGAAAATACTTTTTCATTATTACAAAGAAAATTGTTGTAAACTTGTTTCTTCCGACATCTGTTTGAAGCCTTGAACAGAACCTCTTCCGAAACTCCACAGCGCAAAAATAAACATGCAAACTCTCAAGAGCTATTTTACACTTTGTGAAAAAGAATACAAATTGGACACAAAAGTATATGTGTCATCAAAGAAGAGTCACAGCTCAAGTCTGAACTTAGCCAATAAAGGCAGATGATCCGAAGAGTTATTTTCATTTGGAAGTCCATTAACAGTCCATAAGTCTTGTTCTGTAAGGAGTGATAGTCTGGCCAGAAGTTTCAAGCCACCAACCAGAGCAACTTCAGCTCCTACATTAAAGAAACACATTAATATTTAGCATAACTGTGTCAACAGGTCACTGTAAATGAATCACACAAGTCTTTATTTTTTAAAAAAATGATGATCAGGAACTTCAGATCCCTCTAGAAGTCTAACAGGAAACAGTTCTTAGAATATGACTAAATTTCATTTAATTTTTTGAAGTTTATTCATTTTGATAGGGAGAGAGAGAGGGAGTGCACGTGTGAGTAGAGGAGGGGCAGGAAGAGGGGGAGAGAGAACCTCAGGCAGGCCCAGTGCTGTCAGTGCAAAGCCCGATGCGAGGCTTGATCCCACAACCCTGGGATCATGACCTGAGCCAAAATCAAGAGTCAGATGCTTTAACTGACTGAGCCATCCAGCACCGCATGATTAAATTTCATATTGAGTTATAACCTAATTATAATTCTCAGACACACAGCAGTTTCAGATGTTTGTTTTTTTCTAGTTCAGAGTTTTTTGTTTTCAGTTCTACAAATAATCTTATTTTTCTGTTTGTTTTTTTTAGTAATCTCTATATCCAACATGGGGCTTGAACTCATGACCCTGCGATTAAGCTCTGCCAACCAAGCCAGCTAGATACCCCTGCAAGTAATCTTTAGAAAAAGTATCGGTGTAAAGATAATGTTAGAAGTAATTTGGGATTGACAACTACACAAATTCATTCATCAACTATTCTGTAGTTGTATAAAGCAGAAAGATCCAGCCATGGTGGAATAGGAAGTTTATAAGGTGACTGGAGAGAGAATAAATTAGTAAACCTTGGGGACACCTGGGTGGCTCAGCCAGTTGGGTGGCATTGACAGCTGGCAGCACAGAGCCTGCTTGGGATTCTCTCTCTGCCCCTCCCTGCTCATGCTCTCTCTCTCTCAAAAATAAACATTAAAGAAAAATTAGTATACTTTGGTCCCACAGAGTCAGTGCCCACAGTAGAGAAAGAGGACGTATTCTAACAGGATCACTGGAGATGCTGGTCCACGGCACACTCCCGCCACCTAGTGAACACTTACAGCATGACAACTACCCCTACAACAAATTCAAAGCAGGAAGACTATTTCCTAGACTCGCTCTAGTGGGCAGGGTAAACCAAGTCCTGAGTATTACTAATAGTTATCCTCGGTAGGAAGGAAAACACAAACAGGAGAAAAAAGGAAAAAAGGAAAGTAGTAAAAAAAAAAGGGGGGGTGGAATCAGAAAAGACAAAACATCTGCCCACATTTTGGACTTTGGAAGTTTTCTGAATGGTATTTTTTTGACTGCCAGTCATTTTGAACTGCATTTTCTTCTCCACGTCAAATCATTTGGTTAATATTTAAAACCTTACTTTCACTGAATCATACAAGGAGAAGTGTTTTATCACCTTCGCTTTTTGAAACCACATATTCACATAATGGACTTATCGATCTGGAAAGATCCAGTATTCCAGGGTCTATAGGACAACACTATCTATTGCTGGCAGTATAGGCAAGGTCCTCCAATGAAGGCAGCATGTCTCAGTAAAACTTAACTACAAAACTATCTGATGTTGCTGTCACAAGAAAAACAGTACACTTATGGCAAGTAAAACCAATAAAATGAAAACCAAGAAGCTGACTGGAACTGGAAGGAGGCACTAAGGACAGACATCGTAGGCAATAACTTGCTTTGAGGTGCATCACTGCCTCTGTGTTTTGCAGGGGATTAGCTGGTAAACTCAAATATATTACCAATTTCAAAATATTTTAAACTTTTAAGTCTAGAACTTCACCAGATGTTTAGCTGACCCTCTCAGCCTCAGCCCTGAGGTTTTAGTTACTGTATTCTCAGGCACAATGTAAGATCGCACGCATTCTTTACCTGGCTGCCCAGCAACGTCTTCCTTTTCGGCAGAATAGAAAATATAATCCACAGTTATGGCACTTCGGGAATGACAAGTGGTCACTTCTGGAATTCCAGTGTCAGGAAAATAATGTGAATAAACAGACGACAAGCTGAAATGGTGGTGTAAATTTGAAGATAATCTAAAATGAAAAGAAAAAGTGTTTAGCATCCATCAAGTTTTTGATTTTTAGAACTCCTCCTATTTATTTATTTTTAATGTTTATTTATTTTTGAGAGACAGAGGGTGAATGAGGGAAGGGCAGAGAGATAGAGAGAGAGAGAGAGAGAGAGAGAGAGAGAGAGAGAGAAAGGAGACACAGAATATGAAGCAGGCTCCAGGCTCTGAGCTGTCAGCACAGAGCCTGATGCGGGACTTGAATCCACAGACCACGAGATCATGACCTGAGGTGACGTCGTCGGAGGCTCAACTGACTGAGCCACCCAGGCACCCCTAGAATTCCTCCTTTTTAAAGCACTTTCTCACTTAATATCCAGACAAAACCAGGCATTCAGACAAGCTTTTTAGAAGAGACAATATCACAATCTGACATTCATTTATTCATGTAGGGATATCCAAAACCCATTAACAAGGCTGTGACACACAGAGGGAAAAAGCTCAATAATTAACATACTAATGTGATTTATTATTAATTGTAACATATTTGAGAGCCCCCACTTACTAATACATATTCTAAAACAATTTATAAGTTATTTGTTGTTATACATTTAATTTAATTTAATGACAGCACACAAATGGGGGAAAGGTACAGAGGAAGAAGGAGGAGGGGGAGAGACAGGAGAGAGGCTCGGGGGCGGGAAGGGAGAGAGGGAGAGAGAGACAATCTTAAGCAGGATCCATGCTCAGTGCGGAGCTGATGCACGGCTCGATCCCGTGACCCTGAGATCATTACCTGAGATGACAATCAAGAGTTGGATGCTCAATCAACTAAGCCACCCAGGCGCTCCTGTTGTGTTTTTAAGAAAAAGTAGCCTTTATGAATGTTATGTAGAGTCTGCCAGACTTTCATTGTCAGAGGGCCATATTTTTCTATGATTATTCTTGCTGTGATATATCAGATAATTTTGTACTGCATCTTAAAACAGGTTCTGTAATGGTTTATATTTATCCCATGCTACACATACATGTGATATACTAAATAAAGGGTTTAAAAATCATTTCCTATAAACATATCTTGAAGATTAAAGGTCTTTTATATCATGGAAAATTTTTTTTTAACTTTCTAAAATTCAACAAAAATTTAACAAATATCTACTAAGTTCTAAGCACTATCTTAGGTGCTTAAGACACACATATAAAGATGCTGCCCTGCTTTTTAAAAAGCTCAATGTCAGGGGCGCCTGGGTGGCTCAGCTGGTTAAGCATCCAACTTCAGCTCAGGTCATGATTTCACAGTTCCTGAGTTCAAGCCCTGTGTTGGGCTCTGTGCTGACAGCTCAGAGCCTGGAGCCTGCTTCGGATTCTGTGTCTCCCTCTCTCTCTGCCCTTCCCTTGCTCGCGCTCTGTCTCTCTCAAAGATAAACATTAAAAGAAAGAAAAAAGCTCAATGTCAAAGAACAAAGGTAACTGTTTCAAAATGCCCTTACTTTCAAGTTTTAGCAACATTTTATGTCTAAGAACTTATATTTACAACACTATTAAATGTAAAATATGTCTCCTGCAAACTGTTCTCTATCAATTTTTTGGTGTATAGATATAAGCTCGGCATATAAGCACACTATATTTATATACAGATACTTAAAAGTATCTTTTCTTATACCCCATTTTGTTATAAAAACATTTTAGAATTACTCAAAACCAAATATTTGTAAGTCAGATTAGCCTTTTTATTAATCTTACTCAGGGAAGTTTTTACTATATTTGAAAGGTTTAATCATGAATTTTTAAATATTCTTTTTTAAAATTTCAAAAACTATTACTTCCTATCTTACTAGGTTCTTACATATGAGAGAATATTTTGTCAAAACAAGGTATACAAAATATAGTAAGACTGAGAAGAAAGCAGATAAAATGAGTAAGAGGTGATTCTAATTTGGTCCCTAAATATAAACGTTAAAACAAACATTAAAATACGAATAAAAGGGCTACGATATAAAATCAAGACATTTCAAGAATCTCCCAAAGAGATAAGATAAGATCTCCATCCTGTTGTATTAATATTCATCTGTTTCTCAACCATAGCCCCAAATATTCATGCATCTTTGATAACCGGTAATCCAGGCATCTTCACCCCTCCACCTTTGACAACCCTTTCCTGTAGTTTAAGAGATGTAAATGTCTTTATAAAGTATTTATAAAATTTAAATATAATTATTCATGCTGGTATATCCTTTTTTTGGGTCAATTCCCCTATAAACTGTTAAGATCCAGTAAGTCAAAGGAGGCTAAGCATGGTATTTTCCTGTGATCTTGACCTTTGTTAAAGGACGTAATAGCGATCAATTTCTGAGTACTAGCTGGCCCAGGTGCAGGGACAGGCTCTTTGCTTTAAATAACACTGCCTTAAGCCCCTCGTAAGAGTCAAACATCAAGCTTTCCATGCTTTATCTTACGCTATCCTCACAACTACCCAAATTATAGGTAAGGAAACTGAATTGCAGAGATCTTAATTTTCTTGCTCAAAATTACACAGCTAAAATGTAGCAAAGTTAGGATTGGAACGCAGGTCTGTTTGACTCAAGAGCCAGTCTTCTTCATCAGCATGGAATAACATAATTTTCATTTTTTATCCAAAGAGATTTTTGAGAAATGATTTTTTTACCCAACTAAAGTTAGTAAATGTCTATTGTTGGCTTTTCAGAACTCACTTTTCAGCTGTCACTAGGACCTCTGTTTTGTCCAGCTCTGTTTGTGTCAGATCACCATCTGTAAGAACAAAGAGAAATATATTAAACTATCAATATACTCTTTTGTTCTAGTTTGCCACAGAATAGTCCTCTTACGCTAGGAACAATATTTAAGATATATCTAGTTTTGACAGGATGCCTAGTTAAATGTTTCATCCGGGAATCTGTATGTTTTGATGGTCTCCATAATTAGCAAAACTGATTTCCAAAACAACATGCAAGTAATTCATGCAGATAATTCTGGAAGGCCAACTTAAAAATGGTAAATTTAGAGTTCTTTAACAAAGAATTGAACAAGTAAGCATTATGTTTTTATATATGAATATTCATCCCTGAGATGGCATCCCTTGAAAATTTTAGTTTTAGGTCTTCAAAGGGAACACTACTATCAAGGAGACTGGCAAAATATACTGCAAACACTTACCTGTCTTTTCTACTTTTGGTAACTGCTGTACCTCATACACACAGTTCTGTGAGATACCTAGGTTTGGGGGCCAAATTGGAATAGATAAAATTCTTTGTCCCCGTGAAGACTGTTCCTGGCCAGATACCTAAACAAAATTTCAACAGGTATCTTAAGTGAATAGATTTTAAGTAGTTTATGTATTGAAAAGTTTATGTCTTAAATAAGAAGAGGAAATCCAAGAATGGTAAATATTACCCTTTCTTTATCATAGAAAGTGATTATTTGTGCTTTACAAAATCTTATTCAAATATAGTTCAGAAAAAAAGTTACTGTTTACATAAAAATGGCAATCTTTTCCCACACGTTATTCTAATTTGGACATCTACATGATCTATAGCTTTAGACTAATGCTGCACCCCCCCTTTTTGCTCCCTGCAACAGAGCTCCTATCATATAAAATACTTAGAGAGATCAACTCTCACAAAATTTTAAACCATCACTGAAAACTCAGCGGTGGAGAGTTTATTTTGGTTAAAATCCTGAAGATGAAATAAATGATCTGAAGCAACAGAGAGCACAATGAAGAAAAAAACATGGGATAAACATGGGATATAGGCAACTAAGGAATTAAAATATTTACCATTATGAAAAGGAAGATGAGCATACTAAAGAAATATTAAATTACTGTTTTGCCAACTACACTGTCCACATCCAGCATTCAAAATTCCGTTCTACCCCCTTATGAATAGTTCCTTATTTATGAAGTATTTTTTTAAAAGTTTAGTCGTTCAGTATGCTCCGCACGCAACGTGGCTTGAACTCACGACTCTGAGATCCAGAGTCACATGTTCTACTGACTGAGCCGGCCAAGCGCCCCTTTACGAAGTACTGTCTGTCAATGCTTTTATTTTTTCTTCTTCTCCCCCATTTAGGATATTTTGCTGCCTGCCAATTCCTCCAAGCAGAATGTTGCCACAGATAGATGGGAAAGCTGAAATTCAACCAAGTGAACACAATTACTCATTAGTAGTTGGGAAAACCATCATAGCTTGGTGAAGTGAGGGTACTGGGTCATCTGAGGTTTTCAACAGCCGTATGACAACGATCCTCACGCTATAGGAACAGAGACTACGTCCGTTTCCTACTAACCATGAAGCAAGCACTTACCTTTCCGATGGCGAGTCCTTCATAATTCAATTTTCCTTCCTTTATAAAACTATAGAGTGGAGAACCAGGAACAGAATTAAAGTCACCGCACATCACGATAGGGCAGAAGCTGCCGTCTTTCTGATGGGCAACACTGGAAATCTCTGCCAGAAGCATCGCCAGTTGGGTCAGCTTAATATCCCCTCGCCTTGGATTATACAAGAGATGTGTGTTAGCTACACAGATCACAGGAGAGGCAGCACGTGGAAGTTTGGGCTGCAGGAGTAACACTAATCCAACGTTGTCTCTGTCCAACAGAGGGACATCACGGCGGTAGAATTCCACTGGGTTCACTGATAAGAGTGAAAACTTGGAATGTTTGAAGCAAATGGCACAGCCGTCGGGTTTCCTTCCTGTCCGCATCTTGTATTCACAGTGATAACCTATAAGAAAGGCATAAATTTAACACAAGGGACTACCACTATAAACATACATATGGCAAAACACAGCTCTCCTGATATCTTTGAACAATGTTTATCAAAGTGTATCCTGCAAAACATTAACAATGTAGGATGTTAAGTTTGGGACTGGGTCTAGGTCCTAGGAATGGGTCTCTTCACTTGCAGACTTTAGTCTCCAATATGTTAATGTGCCATCATCACGCTGTCATTTCCATCCTAGTAAAAGTTGTGACAAAGACTATATAAGGGCTTACGATAATCTACCACCACCATCCCCACCCCTGCTATGGCACATCTCTGACCTTTTTGCCTATAACTCCTCCCCTGTTCCACTCAACACGCACCTGCCTCCTCACCTGCCTTGAAGCACTCCTACGTCAGGGTCTTTGCTTTGCTATTTCCGCTGTCTGGAATGCTATAGGCGTGGCTTGTTCCTTCACCTCCTTCAAGTCTTTGCGGGAATGTTACCTACCTTCTCTGATCATTGTTTAAGAGTGAAACCTGACCCATTCTACTTTCCTGCTTTTCTCCAAAATTATCATTACCTAGTGTGCTATTTAAGTATTTATTTGACTTGTTGTCAGCCTTCCTCCACCAGAATGTAGGCTCCACAAGGACAGAGCCTTTTTATCTATTTGCTCACTGCTGTACCACCACAGTGCATAGGATATAGTAGGCATTCAAAAAATATTTGCCGAGGAAGGAATGCAAAGTAGGCAGCATTTCTCAAACAGATGCACTGTTTCTAGAAGTGTTCACTTATCAAGTAGGTTTTTAGCTTCTACCCATTCGCTAACCAGACAGAATGATCTGATACAGAACTTAGAATCTGAGAGGTCTAGCTGTGGGTACAGCAACTACTGGAAAGGAAGCTAATTAGAGATTCTCACATGCTTTTCTGTTTGAATTAAAATGCCATATGAACACAAAAGTTTCCACCTGAAATACCTCAATCTCTTCCTGACTTTTTGAAATGGATATTAAGTTTTTTTCAAAATTAAGATTTTTTTTGCCCAATATACCAACCACACATCTTTGTCAGCAAGTTATGCTTTCACAGCATGCAAATCTTCCAAAATAAATCTGGCTAAAATAAAAGTTACATTGTACCCAAAGATTCCAAACTGGGTCTGATTTCTGCTCCATAATGATCTTCTTGAACTTCTTGCAAACAAAGTACCTTGGAAGAAAAACATGGTGTGAATTAAAACAGAGCCCAAATATGAACTTTCTGGTGCTTTCGTCTTTAAAAACAGGCTTTTAAAATTCTAAAAACCTAATGAAACTTGAAATAAAAGACATAATCCTTTTCTTCTTTTTAACTATCAAATTAACGTTTCCAAATTTGATCAGTTCCCCAAACCCTGGCCTTTAAATACATGAAGCTCTCTCTCTTACTATCTGAAACTTGTATTTTCCAAAAGAAATCTTTTTAATTTACATGTTGGAGTCTTTTTCTTGAATTAAAATGTTCCTTTTTACTAAGTCCTTCTTGAATTAAAATGTTCCTTAGTACTATGTCCTTTTAGTACTTTCCGGAGGTCATTTCTTTGAATGCCATCATCTAGGTTTGTTTTTTTTTTAATTTTTTTTTTCAACGTTTATTTATTTTTGGGACAGAGAGAAACACAGCATGCACGGGGGAGGGGCAGAGAGAGAGGGAGACACAGAATCGGAAACAGGCTCCAGGCTCTGAGCCATCAGCCCAGAGCCCGACGCGGGGCTCGAACTCACGGACTGCGAGATCGTGACCTGGCTGAAGCCGGACGCCTAACGGACTGCGCCACCCAGGCGCCCCGTCATCATCTAGATTTTTACAAGAATGATTTACATTTCAAGTCAAAGGAAACCGTTACTAAATAAATACTTCATATACTGCCAGTCCCTGTCTCAAAACTGACGGATAAGTAGAACTTTTTGGATCTTTTTTGAAATTTTGGTGATTATTTATACCAACAACCATTAGCAAATGACTCTTTGGAAGTCATGTTATGTTGTTAAAAACTGTCCCATCACTGTATTTAAAACCTTCTCATACCACAAACGAAAGGGATAAAACCATTCAGTACACAAGTGAACTTTTATGTGAAGAATTTTGATGATATTCTGCACTTACATCTGCATCAAAGTGTTTAATTTCTTTCAAAATATTGGGAAACCTAAAACTCCAGTGTAAAACTGGCTGCCGGCAGTGTCTATAGAGGTGTGAATTGTCTTCCAATAAATCTTGTGAAAGTATATTATAGGACATCACTGAGAAGTCAAACTTGTTATCGCTGTCTTCACATTTGGGGTCAACATTTTTGTCTCCTAGGATCTTCGTCTTGTCTTTATTATGGTTACATATATATTCCCAATGCCGTTGTATTGTGCCTGTTAAAATATATTGAACAACATATAAAGAGTTAATGAAAAACAAACCATCAATTTTCCTTATGTCAGTATTTTCTTGCCTTTTAAAAATTCCTACAGGCAATGAACAGAACGTTTTCCCCTAGGAAATGGCAACATAGCACTAAGTAACTGGAAGTTGTCATCAAATTGATTACAAAGGCAGTAAAATGATATAATGACTGACCAACAGGTACAAAACAAGTTTAAAAGGATCTGGCAAGTCATTTTGGAGACTTGAGAGTGTGTTAATAAAGCTAAGACTGAATAGGGGTCCTAGTTTCTCACTTACTTATGGTTAACAAGTGGCTCTGCCAGAGAAGCTCAGCAACTTCATAACCATAACAATATACAGTTGACCCTTGAACAATGCGGGGGGAGGGGGGTCAAAAGCACGTCAAAAGCATCTGCATAAAACTTCTGACTCCCCCAAAACTTAACTAGTAATAGCTTACCGTTGACTGGAAGTCTTACTGGTAACATAAACAGTAGATTAGCACATAATTTGTATGTTATATGTATTATATACTGTATTCTTACAACCAAGTAAGCTAGAGAAAAGAAATCATTATTAAGAAAATCATAAAGAAGAGAAAACACATTTACAGTGCTGTGCCATACTTATCAGAAAAGCACACGTGTAAGTGGACCTACGCAGTTTGTGTATTGTTCAAAGGTCAACTGTATTTGAATGTCACAGTTGACTGTTCAGTAAGATGATTTTGCACTATATTTTATTTCCTATGAGTAAGATAAGATCATCAAATGATTAAGTTCTAGCAAGAACTCATCTCAGAATTCTGGTTTAGACATGAATGAAGGGTGTATGATGCCAACATGTGGAAGCAGTATTTAGTGGAATGATGCAAACGAAATGAACACAAGAATTCTTTTTAATGCACACCAAAGCAAAAGTTAGAGAGAACACAGGTGCAGAATGCTAGTAAATGGTAAGGGCTGGCTGAAGAGCCCAGCATGCAGTGAGCGACCAGGAATTGTGATAGTTTACATTCTGCAAAGACACAATACGAGAGGAGAATCAGACAGCACGAGATTTTTCAACTATAGGTAGTCCTCGACTTAGAAACGACCTGCACACACACGCAAATGTACATACACCCCTTTGACCTTGTCTCTCTCACCCCACCATTAAGGAGGATACTCTTACTGCCATGGAAACCATGAAGAAAAATGTGGAAGTTTTAGAGATTCCATGAGCTCAACAGAAGGGGAAAACAAAGGGAAGAACTTGGGAAAACAGGTTTGGAGATGGACTTTCAAGCATGATTAAAATTACATGAAAAACCTCAGTCCTAGAACATCTTCCTTCTCCTACATGAAGGTTTTTGCTTCACTGGATTACAATACCTAGGATTCCACTAATTAAAAATTAAATTGAGGAAAAATATTCTATACATAGGGGAAAAAAAGACCAAAAGGAAACACACCAGTATTTTTAAGAGCGGTTATTTCTGAGTGAAGGACTGCGGATGATTTTTCTAAATCGTCTACAATGATGATATATTTACAATCAAAGTATCAATAAACTCTGTAGAAATGCCAATAAAGTAAAAAATTTTTAAATATCCTCTGGTAAACATGTTTAATGTCTGCTGCATGGAGGGAATAGAGATTTTGACCAGAGGCTCGAAGAGGAAGATAATTTTTATGAATAGTGAGGTCTGGGTGTAACGTGGTGCTGGGAGACATACGATACCATGAAGGTACTAAGCGCCTGAGAAGGGCAAAGAAAAAAAAGGTGGAAGGAAAGAAAACCAAACTCAACAAAAGTCTTCAAGGATTACAGAACTTAGCCTACAGCTTGTCCTATACCCAGGAAAGGGATGGAAACCATATTCTTCCCTATCCTTCACTGAATAAAGAGAATCCTACCTGCAAAGGCCCAGAACTACACCTAATTGTACTGACTCCACAGAACTACCCTGAGATTTGTAACATAGTTTGTATGGGGAAAACGGAAACTGATGATCCACAACTGATTCTCAAGAACTAATTATCTAGAACACAATTCATTCATAAATTGGGGACTGTCTATTGATGGTTTTTAGCCACAAATCATAGTCTTTGTATGTATACGAGATGCAAAGGGCTCTAGTCATGCAAACAAAATGCAAGCCACCATCACAAAGTTACAGCCCTACCCTGGAGCCACCATCATATTAAGATATGAAAAATGAAGGTCTAAAAAAGGTGTTCATATTTTCCTATAAAATATGTATATGTAAGGGCACAGAAATGCACTGAGAATTGTATAGTCCTGGCAAGTGTTTGTAAGCCAACTCTTCTTGCAGTTCCATTTCTGAAGTAACTGAAACCATCAGATTATCTAATTAAAGAGTGGCTTTCAACCTTCTCAAGCTTGTATAACTCTTTGGCATTACTTTTCGTGTCATGACCATCAATCCCTAATAGACTGGGGCTGGCTGATGGGGTAAATACATATTTTCTCCTGACCACATTTGCTTTTAATAAACATACAGAAATGTGTTTGAGAGCTAGGGTTCCATGGAAGACAATCAGAAGACGACTGAGAGAGGACAGTCTTTGGCCTTCATCTACTTCACAACATACAGTCACACTACAAAAGCTTATATACCTTCCATGTCAGGAGGAACAAGGTGATCACAGCAGAGAAGACAGATGAATCAAAGAAAGTAAGCAATAGGCCTGATCAGGTTTTTAGGGCGCCTAATTAAAAAGTCATAATTGTGTCACACAATTCCTTCAAATACCACTTTAAAGTGATAGGCAAGTTAGAAGGCTGTTCTCTTGATTGAAAAGTATTAGTGAATTATCGGAAGTCACAAATATGGCTTAACGAAGAGCATTTTCCTTATTCACAATACCTAGGAAGAATGGACATATAAAGAGTCAGGTCGCAATCAAAGTTTATCAGTATGTAAATGTCATCCCCAATTCATTAAAGGGAAAACACCACCACCACGATTTTCTGAGTACCTACTATGAAGCCAACAGTGTATTAGGCACTTTGATATGTCTCATTTCATCCTCAACAGGCTTTCAAAGTAGGCATTATTTTACACTTGGAAACCAAGGAGCAGAGAGGCTCCATAGCCTGTCCAAGTTGACACAATTAGTGGTGGGACAGAATGAGAGCAGGGAGTGGTTCCTGAGCCCATGCTTATGTCAGTAAGCCACAACTCCACCTGGGAGCACACCAGATTTACAAAGGCTAAGCGAGAGAGCAGTGTGCTGACCTGATCAACAACGAACACATGAATGAAAAGCCATCTCATGTCATCATACAGCCCTAGATTTACAGGTTATGGATTGACTGTTCTTAGGAACCTAATTTTAATGCCTCTACAATACATCTTTTGTTCATTCAAAAGAATATTGGTTTATGAACACATGCTGTGGTTAAATATTATACAAATAGATTTTCACTTTCGGTGCTTACAATTTCTACTCAAATGTGTAGTAGAATTTCTATTTAAAAGAGCACTAATTAATCATCTAGCTAACCTTCGAGCTCTGACTTCCAAGTGAGACTAACTCTGTACGTCTTCCTTTGACAAACTTATGTCAGCTCTCTACACAGAAACACTTATACGGTCTATTTTCAAATATCTCCAGAGGAATTATCTTCACCAAAAACATAGCCCAGTAAGAAAAACAACTCCAAGTTCCACTGAGATAATTCATACATACTTTGGGGGAGGAGGCAGGGCTGGCAGCACAGAGCGAGTCTAGTGAATTGTAAACAATCTGACAAATCTAGAAATAATCAACATATTTAGAAAAAACTCATTCTCAAAGCTGAAAAAGATGTGGTTCCCTTATTAAAAGATAAGACATCCCACAGACTCAAGATTATATGTATAAACCTCAGTACAATAAATACATTGAGTAAGCTAAAATCTTACTCTGTAAGAAAATATCTTTCAATTAATGATTGTGTGTCTTTAAGAATATCCTTTGGTCTTACATTAAAAAGTTAGCATTAAAAATAAAAACATGAGGGGCACCTGGCTGGGTCAGTCAGTGGAACGTGCGACTCTTGATCTCAGGGTTGTGATGTCGAGTCCCATGTTGGGTGTGGAGATTACTTAAAAATAAAATCTTTAAAGTAAATAAGCAAATAATAAAAACCTGAAATTTAATTTTTTTATAGCTCTGTGGACTCCCAAGAACATATACCAATTTCTAGAAAGTCTAAGGACCTGTTTTTAAATCAATGGATTTGATAATTATTCTTAAACTTAATGTTTTAATCTAGTCCTACATTCTTTCCCAACCTCATTCTCCCCCTCTCTCTGTCTCTCTCCCTCTCTTTTTATATATAGTTTCCTGCATTTTTACTGTCAGAAATACACAAAAGATAAAAATAGATATAAATCAAGACATCATTTAAAAAAATAATTTCCTTTTTCCTAATAGAAAACTATGGGTTGAAAACAAATACTAAACCCCTCCAAAACCCGGAGGAGGTTTTAAGGATTATCAGATAGGAAAGTTTCCTTCTATGGCTTACATCTATTTCTCCACCAAGATAAACGTCACCTTTACCTTGGTGTTTTCTTCGTTTTGATGAAGGCTCATCTCCCTCAGAGTTCATGATGTAACTAGAGAGATGAATCAAAGAGCTGTGGCTCAGGCTGTCAGGTCTCCAGTTCCAGTACTGAAACGGAGTTCTAGACTCAAACAAACAAGGTGGTCTCCAATGTAGTGAAAAATGCCTACTACTGAAGTATGGGTAAGGAGCACGAGAATAATGTCCAGGCCACCTCATACAACTAGAAATATGTCTGTTCCAGCAACACCTTTGCAGATTCTCCCACGGTGTAGTCCAATCTCTGCCCAGACTCTTCTGGTGATGGGGAAACATGGGGTATCTAAAAGAAATAAATACACTCCTTGAGGTACCACTTTTTGTTCAGCTATAGCACATTAAATCCAAATCTGTCTCCTCAAGGCAAGATAATGCCTGATATTTAAACTTTGGCTTCTAGGGTGGCTGAGTTGGTTAAGCGTCTGTCTCTTGATTTTGGCGCAGGTCATGATCTCATGTTGGTGGGATCGAGTCCCTTGTAGAACTCTGAGCTGAGCATGGAGCCTGCTTAAGATTCTCTCTCTCCCTCTCTCTTTCCCTTTCCCTCTGCCCCTCTCCCCTGCTCATGTGCTGTCTCTCTCTAAATATATATATATGTATATATATTATATAATATAATTATATTATATATATATGAATCTGAAAAAAAAATCTTCAAGATCTATGAAGGACAGGCAAAAGCAGCCATGATTTAATTATTAGTAGCAACACCTCAAAGCTGTCCTTCAACACCTATGAATGGTATTCTAAATACTTAACATAGACTCCACCAGGCTCCCAAAACACCACATACACTTCAAAAAGTCCTCAGTTCAACTGAGAGATTAACCATCAAACTGGTTTTCAGAGTAGACTTCTAGTATCTAATAAACTCTGGATAAATACAATCCACAGCAAACATAAGAGTTAAATCACTATGGAATACATGAGCTGACTACAATTAAAGCCAATCTCTCCTCCAACTTGGGTTTGTAGTAAAAACAGACTTCTGAACAGTTGTTTTTAACCAAGATTACATTTTCCAAACATTTGTATAGCTAAGAAAACAAAAACCTATCACAACTTCACCAAACTACCTCTCTTGCTAATCAGCAGGTGGATAATTTATTTTTCCATCTTTTTTTTTTTTTCATGGCATGCTTCTCCTTGAGGGAAATGAAATGGGATAGAGCTTACTCATTAATAATTCACCAACATTCCAACCAATATACTGATCATCCAAAACATCGCCAAAGTAGTTGAATAATTTGTTCTCAGGCATTCTTAAGAAACAATACAACTCAAGCACCATCTTCTTATGATACTATTCTGGCAAAAATTTTGGATTCACAGGACTTCTATCCTTTCCTAGAATTCATTAAAGGTACACTTCCAAGACAGTATTAATAATGTTCACTTCTACCACCAAAGAAACTTAGTTTAAATAGTATTTACTGTTTTTTTTAACTTTTATATGTTAATTTAAAGGCATTTAAAATTTTTATCATATACTTTTGCTGTTCTATATAATTTATTATAAACTTTTGCATTCTCCAATTGTTCTCTAAATTCAACTTAATTGTAAATCTTTAAAGGCATGACATGGGCATGCTACTCTGCTTTGTGACAACTCTGAAAGCCATAGAGATTTGGGTGCTTGGTCCATGCTAATAAGCTACCATGTTGCCATATAATACTCGTGGCTGCAAAACTTATTCTTTGTATTTCTAGTTACTTATAGAGACGTCTTTTGCTCTTAAGATGATAAGCTCCTTCAAGGCCAGAGCTTTCTTACTCATTTTAATCCTGGCCTCTTCCCAAGTGCCTAGCACAGTGCCTGGCACACAGCTGGTACTCAGGAAAACACTGTTGAACTGAATTGTCATCAAGCCCGGACTATAGGAGATTAAAACCGGATCCCCATAATATATAATAATTAATACAGTGCTGTTTCCCAGGTGCGGTATACCAGTCCGTTTCATACGGTACACAATTAAACTTTTCGATTTTTCACATCTAAGTATTTATTAGGAAAAAACCCATAATCAGTACATCAAACCCAAGATTTCACGGGTACTGCTTGGGGCGATGCTAATATAAGCAGCACTACTTAAGTGCTTTTTCAAAAAAATGAGTCAATTTCAAGAAAAATGCAGTAAACACAAGTGTGGAACGAGAATTCGGTAATAATCGTAAAGGCTGGTACACAAATGACTCAAGTTTGAGAGAGAGACACTAACATCGCAAACAGCAAACCCCCGGGCGTGCGTGCGATGCGCGCGCCTCTCGGGGTCAGGCCGCCCCGGGACCTACTGCAGACCGGCGGCTTCCCCGCGGACGCTCAGCTCCCGGCGGGTGCCGAGGCCTGGGAGGAGGCCGGGGACCGGGGCGGGGGTTCAGGCTGGCTCGGGGGCAGGGCTGGGGGAAAGAGGGCCGGGGCTCCAAGGCCCAGCCAGGTCGGGAAGGCACTAGCCCTGCGGGCGATGGATCGCCACGGGCCCGACCCGGGCCGGCCCGGCCCGCGTCGGCCAAGCGTCCCGCCGGCTCCGCGCCGGGTTTACCTATCCCTCGGGGTCTCCGGAGGCTCGTCCCGGCGGCACCGCCGCCCGGACCCTCTTCCTCCTTCCTCCCCAGCCCGCCCCGCCACGGGTTTACCCGGGCCGCCCCCCTCCGCCCCTCCCTCCTCCCTCCTCCCTCCTGCCACCCAGCCCTACTGACCGGCCTCTTCCCACCACACAGCGGCCGTAGCCCCTCCTCACACAGCGCCACGCTTCCATTTTCTCCTCTGCGGTCGTCCAGTTCCCAGGCTCGGGGCTCGACCTCTACACCCGATGCGGCGGCCGAAAGCACCAGGGGCTCCCCATCACTAGACGTCGGGACTCCCGGCCGGGCTGCAAGGCATGCTGGGAGGTTCGGGCTCGCCGGCCGCCAAGTCCCCATCTTGCGCCGCGAAAGTCTGCGAATTACAACTCCGAATTGCGTTCAAGTAGCATGCGCAGAGCGGGGGAAGCATGGGCGGCCATTTCGGAATAGGGCAAACACCCGACTTCTGTCTTAAAGAAACAAGAACTAAACTAAGAGCCGAACAGCTCTGTGTAGGCCTACGGGAGGGTAGGAGGTGGTGACTTCGTGAGAGCTAAGAAGAAAAAAACGTGTTTTAGCGTATTTTTATGATGTCCTTGGGAGATTCAAAAGGCGGACGCCCTAGGTGGGGAACAGTGTACCCGTAGAACTGTGATACCAAGGGTTTTTGCAGTTAATTTTGGAACGCACCCTCAGGGCTCACTTTTAAGTGTGTGTGTGTGTGTGTGTGTGTGTGTGTGTGTGTGTGTGTGTGTCTCGTGTCTCTCAATATTAGTATAGGACTCTAGATTATTGGAAAACATTCTTTAAGTGGAGACCCTTCTGAAAGGGAGAGGGGGAGAAGGAGAGGGAAAGGGAAACTGAGGAAGGAAGAATAAAGTGGGGGAGAGGGAGAGGGAAACTGAGGAAGAAGGAAGAATAAAGTGGGGAGGGGGGGAAGGTTACTGCAATTGTAGGCTCTTTGGGAGAGCAGTGAGTGGAGTAAATTCTTGGGAAGGCTTTTTTCTTGTTCTCTTTTATGTTAATAAGGAAATCGGATGTACTTGAAAAACATTTTTCCTCAGTATAAGTATAGTTGATTGCCATCATTTGTGATTGTTAATGTTCTATAAAGTTACTGCCAACGCCGTAATAGTGAATACCGAACAATTGCTTCTAGTGGGGATACAGGGCTAGGTTCCCCTGAGCCTCTCGTCGCATTTTAGCCACCTAATTGATACATAACCTTGGTTTATATGTGTTTCTGCTTAAAGACACTTCATTTAGTATATATTTTTGACTCCTTAACGTTGAATTCGTGGCCGAGCCTGAGTGAAGCTTAGCTAACATATTTTCTCCATAAGCACATCACAGAATTGTGCTTAGGATCCTAAGCACTTAGGACAGCGCTTCAGCACTACCCTTGGGGACCATTTTAAACAGCAAAATCACCAAATGTGATTTCCACAAAAATGTGGAAAACATAGTACTAAATAGACTGTGAAGAGTACAGTTGTTTATAATGTGAGGGCTGAAACAGGAAGGCAAGCTTTGCTTCCTTCAAGCTCAGCTGGGAGTATGCAACAACAAAAATTTTCACCGCTCTGCATGTGTCCATGAATGAATGCAAAAGCACTTGCAAGTATTGGTTTTGGAGTTACAGATAAATTTTAGTAGGTAGGCAAATTCACAAATACATAGTGTATCAATAATGATGGTCAGATGTATTTCTATTTTATATTGCCCTCTTTTCTGGTTGTACTAAAAATTTTGCAGTTTATTATATTTCTTGTATGTCTTATTTCCATAATGAGATTGTAAGTTCCTTGTGAGCAAGGACCATGACCCATTATTTTCAAAATTTACCCCACCTAGTGCTGTGCTAAATACACAGTAGATTGTAGATATTTTTGAATGAATGATAAACACAGGGCCAGAAGTAGAGCAGATCTGTGAATGAGCAGAAACTTCTCCCTCTAGTACATCCTATGTCCTCTCGTTTGTAATGTGTTAAGGAGAAATGTAACACTTTGAAATAAGCAAAAAAGATTAATGGATGTCCTTTCAATGGAATGCTGGAGTTTGGAGGATTGTCTGATCCTGAAAGATACTGACCTTTATCTTGAATCAGACTATTTTAGAATTCTGTAGTGATTAAAGTTAACTTGTAGAGAACAGATGGTAATACAAATGATTATTATCTGTGAACATGTGAGTTGAGCTCTATCCAATGGAGAGAGAACTCTCCTTCTCTGCAGAAAAGCCAGTTTTGCATTCATTTGCAAGGTCAATATTCCTGATCTGTAAAGTGTCTGCTGTTTGGATTCTCCTGGAACAAATTGTAACATCTATCAGAGAAGGTTAATAAAAGAGTTACATAAAATCCTTTTGTATAACTACTTTTTAAATTATTTCTTTTAGAGTTATCCTTTAACAGTTTTGCAGTTCCCACCAAGATGCCCAGTGTATTCGTTGGACAGAACCAGACCAACTTATGACCAGGGAGCTCTAGCTCATGGATTGCCAAGTGTAGGTATTTCTTTTCCTGCTTTCAGAGGTGGATCTGAAGCACACCAGAATTTTCTTCAATTTCTGTTTTCCTAATTTTAATTTTCTTCTCCACTGATTTTGTGTTTTGGTTTGTATATGGTCAATAAATTATGCCTCTCCTGTGGCAGCAGTGATTGGCAATTTGGTAGTGTGGTCTGGCCACTTGGTGATCTCTGTAAAAGGATTAATGGCTTACAGAGATCTTTTTTGTATGGAGTGAAAGACAGCAGAGAATCTGGCTTGTTATTCTTGTTCATTTGTCTGTCTATTTTGAGCTCAAGAATTCTGTGCCCACTGGGAAAAACAACTCTTTGGCATCTCGACTAGAGAGATTTTGTGCTTCTGTGTTGACTCTTGACACGTGGCTGAAATTGTAGACTCAAAGCCATAAGTTCTCTATTTGCCTGTGTGTCTATGTGTCTGTTATTTACGAAGGGCTTTACCTCTCATTATATGAACGTGAGATGTCCTACATCTGGAAGATATTAATAAGTGAAATTATGAAGTTTATTTTACTAAAGGAGCTGCGCTCTAATTGGTTTATAGAGATAAATTAGCACTTGTATAAATATTTTTAAAACATTTTATTTTTAAGTAATCGTTGCACCCTGTGTGGGGCTTGAACCCACAACCCAGAGATCAAGAGTCATATGCTACACTGACTGAGCCAGCCAGGTACCTTAGCACTTCTATTAGTTTAATTCCTAAAATTACATGAAAAAAAAGATAAAGACACTTTAAATGTGATATACTTAAAAGAAAAATATATTATTATAGAAACTAATAAGAAATGTTGTAAGAATCAAAGTTTACATAATTAAGGTCAATCTCTAGTCAGCAGGTGATTTCTTTCTTGAAGTAGTTTAATGTTAACTAGAAATGGGTAGAGACATTGATTGATGTTTCAAAATACCATCCCATCATAATTGCACAGAGAGTCATGGATTGAGGCAGTGAAGAAGGGTGGTCAAGAAAACTTCAGGGTCCAAGGTCTCTACTAAAAGGAAACCAAGTTGTTTGGACAAGCATACAGATACTCATCAGCTACTAGGGGACTCCTTAAGACCTCAGGAACTTGAATTGACTGGACTGGGGTGTGAGTAGCAAATATGGCAAAAGTGTGAGTTAATAAACCTCTCCCAGAGGGACTGATGTTTAAAAGAAAGTGGAAGTGCTTGAAATCCCACATTTCTGTGATATGGGGACTCTCAAGAATTCCTAGACTGATGAGTTTTTGTGTTTCTGTGTTTACTCTTGGTCCATGAACGTTCTTCCTGCCCAAACTATAAAGCAGGTAAGACTGCTCTCTTTCACTGAAACTGCCAAGGCTGATTATGAAGAGAGATGAGATGGAGAGATGCAGTGGCATGAAGTCAGAGAGTGTCTCTCCTCCTGAGGAGTAAGTCAATAGTGGAGGCACTTTTCAGGGTGTAACAGAAGTTCAGCGAAGCTCATGAAGGAATTAAGTACTGTACAACTAGAAATAGACATGGCTAGAGCTATGGAAATGTGGCCGAAGAGAAAATAATACTCAGAATACAAATTTTGAACAATAGCAGAGAGACTTAGAATTATTTGAAAATTGTTTTTCCAATCCTTAAGCAGGGAAGTGACCATTTCAGCCTCTGGACTGGGATGTCCAGATTGGATCGGCAAACAAGGCAGAGCCAGGAGAAAGAAGAAAAGTCCAAAACAAACTGAAACAGAAACGTTTTACTTTGACACAACTGGAGAAGGCCTTCGCTAGTTTCTAGAGGACAGAAAGAATCAGAAGGTAATACCGTATTGGTCAAAGGTTACAAACTTGCAGTTATATGATGAAGTTCTGAGACCTACTACATAGCATGGTGAGTATAGTTAATAATAATGTATTGTATATTTGAAATTTGCTAAGAGAGTAGATCTTAAATGTCCTCAACACACACACACACACACACACACACACACACACACACACACACACACAAATAGTAACTAGGTGAGTAGGTGAGGTGATGGGTATGTTAAGCTTGATTGTGATAATCATTTAAAAATGTATACATATATTAAAACATCATGTTGCATACCTTAATATATAGTTTTTAGTTGCCAATCATACCTCAATAAAGCTAGGGGAAAGAAAATAAGTTGATACCATAACAAATGCATAACATTTGTAGTTTGTTAAGTTCCAATTTAAATAATCTTTCCAGGTACTGTTTTAGTTATACCTCTTTATCAGGTATACTCCGATGACATTTGCGGTTAAAATTCATTCACTCATTCGTTTATTCATTTATCCCTACACCCAGCTTAAGAAGTCAAGTGTTACAAGAGCTGCCTGGGTGGATCAGTTGGTTAAGCGTCCCACTTCAGCTCAGGTTATGATCTCACAACTCATGAATTCGAGCCCCATGTCAGGCTCTGTGCTGACAGCTCAGAGCCTGGAGCCTGCTTCAGATTCTGTGTCTCCCTCTTTCTCTGCCCCTCCCCTGCTTGTGTTCTCTCTGAAAAGAAATAAAATAAGCTTTAAAAAAAAGAAAATATTACAAGTATAGTTGAAGCCTCTTGGTACCCCATACACAATGCCATTCCCCTTCATCTTCCCAAAGGTAACTACTATCCTGATTTTGGCTTTTTTCATTCCCATGTACTGTTAAGTTTTCCATTGATTTTAAGTATTATA